CATTTTATTATCTAGTTAAAGGTATATGTTCTTTATATGTATACGTGTGTATATATGTATATGTTCATTCGCTTTAATTTCGATTGATTATTCCTTTTTGTCTATATCATATTTTTAAATATTCATGACTTTCTTGGTAAATACTTGGTTGTATATATATACATAATCCAATTTCTGATGACACCTGATTTTATTCACACATATATATATGTGTATATATATTTTTGGAATGCACTTTATGTATAAGGTTTTATAAATATGTTTATATATATTATATAAGCATTTTTTTGATTTGTGGTTTTCGTTAAAGCGATTTTATATTTCATTTGAGTGGGGAGACTTGCTGTGTTACTGAAGGCATTAACTATATATTATATATATTTATGTATATAGGCGCTTATAGACTTGAGTAAGCATATATAATAACTATGCATGATAATTGTCAAGCATTTGAAGGATTTTGTAGCTACTTATTGACATACATCAACTAAATGTAGATGATCCACCCGTTGCCTTATGCAAAACGTAAAATTTTAAGCTAGGCGCTACAACAGAAACCGTTATACTAAGAGGCATCCAAGTTTACCCTAAGACCCGCGTATCATCTTTCAGTTTTGAATTAATTTAAAAATTGCTTATTGTTGTGTAGGTCCAATTGTCTTTTTGGTTTTGTTTTTCATTTTAAATAAAACTAAAACAAATTCAACTAGTAGTTGCATGGCAGCTATATATTAACATTTGTTTTTCAGTTTTCGTTTATTTTGATTTATTTATTAATTTTTTCTTTTGTTGCGCTACTTGAAGTCTACCATAAAATCCCTGTAGGTTCTCTCTCATCTTCATTTATCCATCAAAACACAATAATTGGCGAAACAAAAATTGTGATTGGAATGATAATAATTATTAATAATATTATTGCCCTAATAGCACACATTTAACAACTGTTAAACCACTTAATGAGTTACTTAGTTATTTATATATCCTTGGAGTATTTAGTTGCAACGATTAAAGTAATTTATAACTTGATTGTATTTATGCTTAAATTCGGTTGAATTTAATATTTGATATACGACTAAATGGCAAGTGTATCAGCATGGGGAAGCGCAGTGTTAGGTATTTGCTTAAGCATATTCCACCAAATGGAAAATAAAAACAAAAAAGAAACAATTAGTTGTGTTCCCTCCACATATATAAAGATATATATATATATATGTATATATGTTTGAAATAGTATATTTGAGTTTTGTTTGTATGTATTAAGCGTGTGTACAAAATATAATGTTTGGGTATTAAATTAAATCGTAATATGTAATCATTTGTTGTTACATACATAGCATCGAGATTCGTTCTCAAAAATACATGAATAATAATGTAAAGACATAAATAATAGGAACAATGTTGTGAGCATTAAAACTAGTTTTTACCCAAAAGTGGGCCGAGAGAAAACAAAAGTTTAACAATCAAAATAAATGTTCAACAAAATCTTTTAAATCTATGAGAAAAACAAAATAAACATTAAACTATATAACACAAATTCAATGTGACAAAAAACTTAAGAGCAATTTATAAATTCACAACTTTTAAATCGTATTTAAAAAGTGGAATTTTTAATAAACGCTTAACAAACAAATCAAAAAATATATTTCTGCTTTGGCTAATAAAAAAGAAGCTATAAAATTTCTGATTAATAGCACAAAAAAAGAAATATAATATATATATAAACCTAATAAACGGGGATGGGGCAAAAAACTAAACAGAAAAATGCTTTTGCAGTTTCCAGAATGGCAGATTCTTAAATTAGATAATACTGTATGCAAAGTAGAACAGCTTTTCGATTGAGCTTCAAATGAAAAAATAAAGTAAGATAGTTTTAATGACCCATTTCATATAGCTGGGGAGTTTTTCAGTTAGCATTTGAATGCCCGCTTCAAATGCTGATATGTAAGCATGATTATCAAAAAATATTACGTATTCGAGTTGATTATGTGAGCAATAGTCGTGTGTATAGCCTAAAAGAAAAAGAATGTATATGTACATATACTTAATATCGTACCGTTTAAGTAAATACATCAAATAAATGAGTAACTTTACAAGATTCATTGTGATTGGGTGTGCAACACAAAAAATTTTCGTCCAAATCTGTCCATTCGGAAAGGTTAGCTTCCTGTTGCCTAAAAGTGCATAAATTTTGGTATCACTTAAAATTCAAAATTACATCCCATTATGAACATATATATGGAACTATTTAAAACGGCACGCTAAAAGTGCGCACAAAGTATAGGGGAGACACACACTTAAATCGTCGACTGGTGTTGGTGTTGCTGTTGCTGATATTTGTACAATGAATTGGCTGCAGAATTGTTGCTGCCTGCAGTTGACAAGAGATTCAAGTTGTTCGTCTGCTGATTAGCATGTTGCTGTAGCTGAATACGTTTCTGTTGCGACTGCTGCTGCTGCTGTTGCTGTTGCGACTGCTGCTGCTGCTGCTGCGAGTGCTGCTGTTGTTGCTGCTGCTGTTGGTTACTATGATGACCCAATTGCTGCAGCTTCTGTTCCATACTCAATCGATTGCTTGACGACGCTAATGAAATTGCAGATGATGACGCTGACGGTCCAATGCCAACCAGGGTTTGCGACTTTGAATTTCTTGTCAAAGGCTTGTGATTTTTGATAATTTCACAGCTGTGCTGCCATTGCCAACAGCTGCGGCAAAAGTAACTGCAATGGATATGCATAAGTCAATATCAGGAGCACTTAATGCAATTATGTATGGTTAATTCATATCTACCGAAAACAGGAAAGTTCCCGACAATAGTACGGCCCGTGTTGTACACCGCAAATTGAACATAGCGCATCTTCCAGATACGGATCTACCTGAACTTTCTTCGTAAATTTCGTGGTACGAATTTCAATGAAGGCTGCCGACACAGCCTTCATATACGAACGAAAGTTGCTGAAAGTCACACGCCCAGAGCCAATTGGGTATTTGTATTTATCTGTATCAATACCAGCATAGAGTACGCCATCAAACAGATCCTCCATGATTGTGGCCAATCCCTCGGCAGTTAGTTTACCGTGTAAGGCGCCCACGAAAACAGTTTTAGTGGGATCCAGCTTTTGAGAACTTGAACGCACATAGTTGGAATCAGCTATAATCCAAGGGATGACCTCCACCTGATTGCAATAGAATGATTAAAATAATGTAATATATAAAATATTCTGTTTTTCTTATATTAAGGCGACTAACATCTTTCGACTTGATACGCCGTGAGGAAATCTTGAAGAAATAATTGCTGCCACAGTGCGAATCATCAACTTGCAAGACGCAGGCGGAAAGCAAAGCCTTCACCTGCTTATCAGACTCGAATATAATGTAGACATATCCCTTAGGTTGTGCCGCCTGCTGTTCTTTGCCGGGCCACTCAACTCTGTAAATGAAATTGATTATAGATGTAATCACTCACTTAGATCATTAGATATTGTATGCTTACTTTATAGAACCAAAGGGTTTAAAGATTTGTATTAACGATTGTTCACTGATATCCCAAGGTATACCGCCTAAGAATACTTTGGGTGAGTAGTTCGACATGCGATGGGATCGTGGCGGCAGTTGGCCACTCCAAGTACATGTTGCTTCACATATTGCGGCCGAGTTCTTATAGAACTTGGCGACGCGATCCAGATGCCAATCATTGGCATTGCTAATGACACTTGGTGTCAAACCCACAGAGCTGCCTGTACCGCCAACCAGATTGCCCAAACTGGGTGCTGAAGAGTTGTTCAGACTGTTTGAGCTGCCGGCAGTTGGCAAATTGCTCGCATAGCTTTGTAACAGTTGATTCAGCAAAGGCATTTGTTGCGTTTGCGCCTGCAGCAACTTGAGCGTATTGATCCGCTGCAAATTCTGCAACTTGGCCAGCTCCATGTCCATTATTGAAAAGTTCTCTAGACTACACTGATTCAGGCAATCGTTGCTCAAATCGAAATTTTGTTGCGATCCACCTAACAGCTGCGACTCATAGTTGCGGTTTAGGTTGTTAAACTGCGGCTGTTGCTGTTGTTGTTGTTGCTGCTGATGATGGTGCTGGGCCTGTTGTTGTTGCAAGTGTTGCTGCTGCTGTTGTTGCAGCTGTTTCTGTTGTTGATGTTGCTGTTGCTGTTGTTGTTGTTGCAGCTGCTTTTGCTGCTGCTGCTGTTGCTGCTGCTGTTGCTGTTGCTGTTGCTGTTGCTGTTGCTGCTGCTGCTGTTGGTGCTGTTGCTGCTGTTGAAATTGATGTTGCTGATGTTGCTGTAAGGAAGCGAGCTTGTTGCTATTGACAGAGAGCAGATTCTGCAAAGAGAAATAGTTCAGAATCTAAATATCTCCTTAGAGCAACACTCACAATCATGTCCAACAAATTCGGCTCGTTAAAGGACTGATTGCTGTTCTGACTCTCCGGCGAATTGGAGCGCGTCGATGCATTCTGGATGTTCAGTCCGAGATTTCCGCTATTGCTGCCGCTCAAGTTGCTATAGCTGCTCTGCTGCTGATAAAGCATATTAATGGAATCTAGCGATAAGCCGTTGGCGCTGGAGGAGTTGCTGCTATCACTGCAAATATTATTGGTAATTATACAAGTATGTGCGATGGCTTAAAATAAATATATATTTAATTGGTGCCACTTCGTTACCTGACTAAAGGTGAACTGTGAAAGGAGCGATTGTAAATAGATGAAGGCGTACTTGGCGATAAGGGTGCAGAGCAATCGAAGCTGATGTTTGATCTTTGGAAAGCCTTAAGTGGGTTACTTTGTGCAACATTTTCAAACTAAGTTCGCCAATTCACCCGAAAAAGAAAGAAAAGAAATCAAATAAATTGAAAAATTCAAACACACACAGAGTCAGAGTCGGAGTTAGAGGGAGACAGAGATACACACACACACGACATTTAAATCAGTTAAAAATCATAAGAGGTTTAGTATACAGTCCAAGAGCGTTGGTTTATATTGAAAGAAATACAGAGAAAGAGAGAGAGAGAGAGAGAGAGAGGGGGAGAGAAAGAAAGAGCAAGCAACAAAGTTAGAGAATAGTTTTGGTTTTTCTGGTGCAAATTCGGTGCAATTACAAGATACAAGATACAGGTCGAAAAGAAGCTTGAGCACAGGTGTGCAATGAGAACTTACCTGAAAGTAATCAAAACTTGACTTGGTGCCTGGCGAGGCCGAGGACTGAGTTGAGCTAGGTGTCAGCGGTGCATAGGACACGGCAGTCGCCGACAATTGACCGCAATCGCCAGTGGCAGCGACAGCGGCAGCTGCAGCAGTCGCCGAATTGCCAAGTAGCAAGTTATTAACGCCGCTGCTGCTGCTGCTGCCGTTACCTCCGGCGCCGCTTGCAATGCCTGCTGCCGTTGTTGCTACTTTTGTTGGGGCTGGTGCTGTTGTTGCCTGGGCTGCGATTGCAGGGCCGCTGCCGCCACACAAACCAAGCAGATCGTTCAGTGTGATTGGATCTGCAATAAATTAAAAACGAAATGCATAGATATATATATATATA